TAATTTAATAGTTCAGACCGGGTAGATTTACTATAACTTATTTACATTTTTAATTTAGAAATTCAGACCTGGTAGATTTACTATAACTTATTTACATTTTTAATTTAATAATTCAGACCGAGTAGATTTACTATAACGTATTTATATTTTCATTTGCTGTTCAATACTTTGTGTCATTTTTCAATTATATAACTTTCAGAGATATATCTTATAAACTGAAGGTTTAGGTTCCAGTTAGGGTTAAACTAAAAAAAAAGCAAAGATGAAAAAAATTGATACCATTAACAGCATGATATTATCAGGATAAAAATCATTGTGGATAACTACTTAGATACTCTTGCTGTTGTATTACTACAGTTACTGACGTATTAACTTTGTATTACTACAGTTACTGACGTATTTACTATAAATAAGGTGTTTTATTATTGTAATGTTTGTTCTTGACAGCCTTCAACAGATGTAAATGGAAAAATTGAAGAAGAGTTTACCGTTGCACGGTTATATATTAGTAAGATGAAGTCTGAGGTGAAAGCATTGGCTCAGGTACGAAGCTTTAGGTATTGTGTAGTAGAAAGAGACCCACAGGTAAACATAAAATGTGGGATGGAAAGTTTTTATATTTTATTCTTAAATATATATTTTTAAACGTGTAACTAAAGTTAAATTTTTTAAATTCATAATTAAAATTTTGTTTTGCTTCAGTCTTGGCCAGCATTAATAATTATTCTTGACTAGTGATAAAAGTACCTAATGTGGACCAGAACTAAAAGTTATCCTAGTAATAAACATAACTGATTTCATACTTATAATTATAAGAATCCATTGATTGGGTATTCTTGTTGTTAGTGGTATATTTAGCCATAATCCCAGTAGGTGTTACTCCCAAAAATGGATCTAAAACAAAGAATATATCAAGCTTTTCTAATTATTTTTTTTTACTTAATGCTCTGTTAAAGTTTGCAGAGTTATTGTTGATTGTCTTTTCTGTTTCCGAAGTTTAGTAAGTGGAAATTTTAAAACAATGTATAGGAGAATATTTCATTTTCAAAGTAGAAATCTGATATTGCAAGTATTATGCTTAAAAGAAAAATGTCTGTACTGTTTTATTGGTAGCACACGAAAACCGTCATACATATTTAAACCAAGGCAAACAAGTGAAACTGACTGTATGACAACATTTATTTGTGATGAGTTTTATCTTCGATATAGAAACATATCTTGTTTGTCTGTCTTACATATTCAGGTTTTCTATTTCTTTTGTACCAATAACTATATAATATCATAATGAAACAAAACTTTTAAAACTGGTAATTGAACTAAGACTTAAGTACTAATGATTTTGGTATAAATATATTATATTAGAATTCAACGTCTGTGACATACAGAATAAAAAAAATTAGTATTCTGTGTAAAGATGCATAATCATTTGTTGTGGTTTATTTTAAAAGCGCTGCGGTCAGTTGGAGACTTTCCAGTCTGACTGTAATAAGAAGATCGAAGCCAATGAGAAGGATCTGGTAGAGTGCCGATTACTGATCAGTCAGGTGAGTGTGTAGTAACTGATTTATTGTGTAAAATAACTTGAAAAAATAAAAAAAAGGTGCTAGCCAATTACTGATCAGTCAGGTGAGTGTGTAGTAACTGATTTATTGTGTAAAATAACTTGAAAAAATAAAAAAAAAGGTGCTAGCCAATTACTGATCAGTCAGGTAAGTGTGTAGTAACTGATTTATTGTGTAAAATAACTTGAAGAAATACAAAAAAGGTGCTAGCCAATTACTGATCAGTCAGGTGAGTGTAGTAACTGATTTATTGTGTAAAATAACTATTGTATACTTGTCAGTTCTAAAGTTGAGTAGGTGTTAAACTATTGTATACTTGTCAGTTCTAAAGTTGAGTAGTTGTTGAACTGTTGTATACTTGTCAGTTCTAAAGTTGAGTAGTTGTTGAACTGTTGTATAATTGTCAGTTCTAAAGTTGAGTAGTTAAACTGTTGTATACTTGTTAGTTCTAAAGTTGAGTAGTTAAACTGTTGTATAATTGTCAGTTCTAAAGTTGAGTAGTTGTTAAACTGTTGTATAATTGTCAGTTCTAAAGTTGATTAGTTGTTAAACTACTGTATACTTGTTAGTTCTAAAGTTGAATAGTTGTTATTGTATATTATTTGTCAAGAAGAAACATCTGAAAAGATTAGTTTTTGTTTTAAAGTTTCTTGTGTATATTAAATGTGATTGAGTTTTACTTAACATTATTTTTATGTAGTTATATAGTTAGATATATGTAGTTTTTGAATATGTAAAAAAAGTTTTTTCCTTCTCATTTGCCCCCCCCCAGTGGCACTATGGTATGTTTGTGGACTTACAACGCTAGAATCCGGGTTTCGATACCCATGGTGGGCAGAGCACAGATAGCCCATTGTGTAGCTTTGTGCTTAATTACAAAGAAACAAACCTTCTCATTTCTTATATTAATACAGGATCTCACCTTAACCAGAGGCAGGAATTGGATGTAACATGTATGGAATCCAGGTTTCGATACCCGTGGTGGGCAGAGCACAGATAGCCCATTGTGTAGCTTTGTGCTTAATTACAAAGAAACAAACCTTCTCATTTCTTATATTAATACAGGATCTCACCTTAACCAGAGGCAGGAATTGAATGTAACAAGTCTGGAATTTATCCAATTTTTGGGAAACTTGTACAGGGTGTAGCGTACAATTAGATATGGTAATAAAATTTTACAGTTTTCTAAATTAGACAAATATTGACCAAGCTACGACTGACCACATTGTCAGGAGAAACCCATATTTCAATAATGACAGTTCTTATTGTTGGGTAGCCAATAATGGGTGTGCTAAGTGAGCTTTCTTCTTCGTTGTCTGCTTTTCAGGCCAGAGCCCAATAAATCATCAGTAGATAGCCCTGTTGACCGTGACTGAAACTTTGCTGCTGTTTAGCATGTTATCATAAATCACGATTATTCCCTTTATTACATGCACGTGCAAAGCCCTAAGATGTGCAACTTGGAAGCTGTGGATGTGATCATGATGACTTATTGACGGCCTTGTTAAAGTAAATCCATCTAGCAAGTTTAAAGATGCTATGGCAGCAATCAAAATTAGGTTTGGTGTTGACAAGCACATTACACCACTGAAAAGTTCAGAATCTGATGTATCCAAATATGCAATCAATATGATGGTAACATATTTTTCATTCTCAAATTAAACCACAGGAACTTTTCTTCACTGATTGCTTGAAACTAGACATCTTGTTCTTGATCTTCTGATCTGGTTGAAGGCTACTACTACTACTACTACTCTCACTGTACAACTGGAATCTCTTGTTCCTTAGCCTGCCACCCAAACATCAACTATCTTGTCTCTGGTTAAGGGTGAGATCTTGTGTTAGTTTTATAGTTAACTGATTTGTACTAAAAGCTGACTAACAGTAGGCTTATTGAGAAATGCTGCATTGGAAAATCACCATTACAGTTGCAGAGCTAATATTGTGAAAGATTTATGTGTGTGTTTATTCATCTCACTTTGTGAAAGTTCATATAAGATACTGCTACAAACACATGATAGAGAAAAGCAAAATATTAAAAACTTCTAAGTAGTTCCTTCCCCAAACTTATTAACTATGGTCTGTTTTATAGAGAAAAGCAAAATATTAAAAAAAACTTCTAATTAGTTTGTTCATCGAACTTATTAACAATGGTCTGTTTTATTTTATTTTTTTCATATTTGAGAGGTATAGTTGGATTACTCATTAAAATGTGTTTTCCTTTTAGTATGAAGCCAAGGTAAAGTCTCTTCAAGAATCTATGCGAGACATAGAAAACAAGAGGAGAACATTGGAGGAAGCTGTAGACCAACTGAATGAAGAGTGTGCTAAGTTAAAAGCAGCTGGTAAGGTTTTCAGTGCAGCATAATTATGTATTTTAACGTAGGTGGACTTTGAATCAGGAAGAGTTCCACAAACTTAAAATGAAAGAAAGAAATGCCAACTTAATTCGAGCCAGAAAGAATGCTAGAAACTACAATGTTATAGTTTTCATTTCTTGAAGAGGAGCACTTACTACTTTGCAAAAAAAGTGGGGGCATGTGTCCCCCTCTGTTTCTGCCACCTATGTATTCCAAAATTTATTGTATCTTCATATTATTCAAACAGTTTTCATGGGTTTTTACTTCTAGTTTTTTTCATCCATTGTAAGCTTATTGAAAAACGTGTTAACTTTTAACTTGTTAAATATTAACAGTGATCTTACTACATTTTTATCTTTCAAACAGTGTCACGGCTTTTCTCATTTTAACTGTTTACATTAATTTTTTCTTTATCAAAACTTGAAAGTGATAAATTTGTGGTTAGATTAGATCCGTGTGAGTTTTGTCAGATTAGTGTTAGTGGGGTGATGAGGGACATCCTCACCCCCCTCAAAGCAGCCTTAAAGGGGCTTCCAAATCATTGTTAGAGAGGCTTTTGGAAAGTTCTCCAACTTACCAACTTGGCCCTCAAATCATAGTATTCTAGAACGGGTTGTGGATGTGATTGTTGAGGAATTAATATTCTTGCTTTCACAACAGCCAATTTCTATATGATGTTTTTATAAGAGGCGTATATTTGTGGGTGACTATCACAATATTTACTTGGATCACCATGAAACATTCCAGCTGTGATTGTGAATTGCACTTGGAATACAGTAGTTTCTATTCA